AGTTTGAGGTGTGGAATGGAGTGAAGTCCAATCAGCTTCCATATGCAAAAGACCTTGAAACGCTGGGCGGGACTGCACAAAGCAGCCAGTCAACGCAGCCAGTGTCTTCTGAGTGGCAGTTCTTCCGGCCAAACACTAAAGGCGGGCATTTTAGAACGTTGGTCCCCACTACTGCTTTATTATAAGGGAGATATGGCACAAGGCATCAGCCATAATATCCTTGCTGGAAGGTAGTGACCAGCTATGCCTGCAAGTCTTTAGCTGTAGGGGAAATCACTGTTTACTCATCTGCAGCTTCAATGGGACATATTCTGTTTGCACTAGCCACTGCAGCAGCATTACAGAGCAGGGCACACTTTTCCACTACACAAAATTGCCCGGCACTGACTTTACACCTGAGAACTAACACACCCACCCACATGCCCATTTTTTTCCTGCTGGTTTGTTTGTATTTCTTCCCTGTGCTGACTTTTGCAGAGACAAGTGTCTGCCCAGAAGGGAGAGAGGATCTGCAGAGATTACTTCAAGCGCAGGTAAACAGAGTTGTCCGTGCAAATGACCACTGAGATCCTTGCAATTGTCTATTGACTCCAGTAGAAGAAATTGCAGCCTGTTTGCTCTGATTCCAAGGAAGATTGGGTGTTGGATTTAAAAATATAGGCTGCTTTCCCCTCAAGGGAGGAAAGCAAATTGAGGCACCGTGATCCCTGATTGTTTTGAATTGAATGAACTGACAGGAAGGTAGTGGCTAAATCTTGTGGACTGCCTGATAGTTTTTAAGGAGGCTGGCTGTTGCTTTACCTGTTTTTAAGTGCTGAGAGGGCAGAAAGGTGGCACACAATGCTCCTAATAAATAAGAGAGAATAGGAGCTGACAAGAGAAACTTACAGAGAAAAAAATATGCAGTCTTTCATTGGAGTGTTAAAGGTAACCCATCTTTATTTTGGTTATACTCAGAGATGGCAGAGTTAGCATGTCACATGGCTCACGTACCTGGTTTGACGCAAGGGGATGGGTAGTGAGATGCACAGGAAGGGGTCAAAGGTGTTGCTCTGCTTTAGGCAGTGAGGGCAGGTCAAGGAGGACCTGGAAAGGAACCAGAAATCACAGTCAAATCCCATATCCAGGGATACCAAGGTCAACACAAAAAGCAGGGCTGGCCTACCACAGGGGATTCTCATCTCTGACCACAGAGCTTAAAAGGAAATCCATGGAATGTAGAAAAAAGGAGGCCCTGAAAGTGCGTCTGTTGTTAGACTCACAAATTTATGTTGATGTAGAAGTAAATACCACCTAGGTCAATGAGACTGGCTTTTCAGGATGTATGTTTAAGATAGCCATCTGAGAGTGCAATCCTAAACAGAGTTACGTTTAGAACTGTACTGTTAAAGAACAGGAGTCTTGTGGCACCTTAAAGACTAACGAGTTCCGATTTTAGAATGAATTTTTGTAGACTGCAGCCTACTTCATCTGACCAGGTAGGCTTTACTCCTCAAACATTTATACTAGCATAAAAACTTCCTTCAGATGCCTTTTAGACTGCCACTAAGCCCTTGCTCAACACCCCAAAATTTCAGTGCTTAACTTGGCAACAAACTGAGTCCCCCTATCGGAAATTATTTTGCGGGACAATGCATGGAGTCTGATGGCATGTTACATGAACGTGTGTGCCAGTTGCTTTGAAGTAGGCACCTGCTTACACAGGACGAAATGAGCTTGTTTAGAGAATAAATCCACAACCACCCAGATTGTCGTTTTCCCCTGGCTGGGAGGCAGGTCAGTGATAAAATCCATAGAAATCACAGACCATGGTCTGTCAGGGGTTTCCAGGGGTTGCAACAGCCCTGGAACCTTTCCCGCCCGTCATTTGCTCATCAAGGAAGTCTGGCAAGAAGACACATACTTAGATATCTCCCCACATGCAGGGCCACCAAAATTGTCTTTGTATGAGATTAAGTATTTTTAAATAACCAAAATGCCCCAAGAGCTTGTTATCATGCCCCATAGTCAGTACTTCCCCCCTAAGGGATTCGGGCACAAACAGTTTATTTTGATGGTACCAACACCCATCGTTCCCTTGAGTTAAAGTCCCATTTTTCTCAATCTCCTCTTGGTCTTTGTCAGAAAGCGCGGTTTTGAATTTCTCTACCCAGAGTTGCGAATCAAGCTGGCCCCCCTTCTCTGCCTAACTGCGTGTCATCACAACTCCTCCCAGCTCAGCGGGGGTGAACATAGTGTCTATGACTTAATCACACTGACTGGCGTGTTGGGGAAAGCATGCCAATGCATCAGTCAAGAAGTTGGACTTGCCAGGGTGGTGTTTAAGTGTGAACAAAACTTTGAAAAGAACTCTGCCCATCGCAATTGTTTGGCATTCAGGTGGCGGGGGCTCAGAGGGCTTCTAAGTTTTTATGATCAGTTCACACTTCCCGTGCCCCCTCCAGCCAATGCCTCCAAGTCACTAGGGCGAGTTTAATGGCTGCGGCCTCTTTGTCCCACACTGCTCAGTTTCACTCAGCACCGGGAAATTTTGACACATAAGCAAGAGGGTGCAGTTTGCCATCCTGCCCCACCTGTAGGATGCCCCCCATGGCCACATCCGAGGTGTCCACTTGGACTATGAACTGTTTAGTTTCAGCGGGGTGGTGCAACACCGGTTCAGAAGTAGAAAGGCCTTTTAGCTTTTCAAAGGCTTGTTGGCACTCCAGGGACCAGTCCACCTGGCTGCCTGCTTTTTTACTCACCTGGCCCTTCCCTTTGTCTTTAATAAATCTGTTAGGGGCAAAGTCACTTATGCAAAATTGGGGATGAAGGGGCAGTAGAAATTGGTGAACCCTAAGTATGACTGTAGTTGCTGCCTTGTGCATGGGGCTTCCCACCCCACCATGTCTTGGATTTTCTTAGGGTCCATCCCCAAACCCTTCCCGGAAATGCAATACCCCCAAAAGTCCAGTTCCTCATTATGAAACTTGCATTTAGACAGTTTTGCATAAAGAAGGTTGCTGTAAAAGGCCTTCAGGACCTCTCACACCAATCTGACGTGACTCCTTATCTTTTGAATAATCAACATGTCATCTAGATAATGAACCACCCCTTGAACAGGAACTTGTGCAAAATTTCATTGATTAAGTTCATGAACACCCCCGGTGCTCCGGCTAATCCAAAGGACATGACCAAATACTCAAACTGCCCCAGCGGGTTGTTGAATGCAGTCATATACTCATCCCCCTCCCTGATGCATACTCAAAAATAGGCATCCCAGAGAGCCAGCTTGGTATAAAAATCTTCCCCTGGGATGCCTCCACTAACAAGTCTTTGATGAGCGGGAGGGGGTAGGCATTAGACATGGACACCACGTTCAGACCTCTGTAATCCATGCATAGTCTCAACCCCCCATCCTTCTTTTTCCTGAATAGCACAGGGGGCGCAAACAGGGAGGTGGCTGGTCGGATGAAACTCCTGCTCAAGTTCTCGTCAATGAACCACTGCAACTCCTCCTTCTCAGTTGGGCTCATAGCATACAGTTTCCCCTTGGGTAATTTATGATGGATGATCTCGATGGCACAATCAGTCTTATGGTGAGGAGGGAGCTCATCTGCTTCCTCTTCTTCAAACACTGGCCAGGTCCCTATATTCCACGGGGATCAGGTTCAATTCTTCCCGTACCAAGCACACCTACTCTGTGGCTCCTACCCCAATCCGGCCTCCAGAGATGCTCCTGGCACCGTGGGTCTAAGAACATAAGGGTACCGGAGCTCCATTGTACATAAGGGTCATGGGCTTGGAGCCACGGGTTTCCCAACACTATGGGGAACTTAGCCACTGGGTTTACCACAAAAGACCACATCTCCCAGTGGGCCGACATCCCCACCGGCAAATGCACTGTGCAATACCGGCAAGCCTCCTTCATGGGGGCACCATCCATCTGGCATTAGGGGGTTGTCTTTAGCCAGTGCCTTCTCCAGGATGGTGGTGCTTAGCCCAGCTCTGTAGAACTTGATCAGGACTTCTTTGGGCCATCCCCAGAGCTTGGCTGCATATGACTTGAATTCATCTGAGTTCTCCTGCACCGACTGGCTCCCTTGTCTCAACCCTCAGAGTCAGGTGCGTGCCGTCATCAACTCAAACGGATCCTCGAACTGGCAGCGCAGGGCTTGCATAAAGGCATCCATGTCTCTCAACTCGGGTGCTTGCACGTTATAGAGGCCTACAAACCAGTCAGCTGCCCAGTCTCGTAGTCAGGACACCACATAATCCACACAATGCTCATTGAATGCGAACATGTGACCCCACTCTCACTGGAGTTTCCACACCTGAATTGCGAAGAATGCCAGCTTCCCCGGGCTGCCGTCAAACGTAGCTTCCAGGGCACCTAAGGGTTGCTCCCTCTCTGGGCAAAGGTCCACTCCCTGCTTGGGAGAGGCCTCTTCCTGGGCCTCCATCCCGGCCTCACCCTCCAACTCTTCGTCCTTCACCATGAGTTCTTTGACCACCTTGGGGAGGTTTTTGGTGAGATACTGGAACCCTTCTTTCAGTTCTCCCACCTTGGCTCTCAAGTTGCCTTGGCCTCACCCAGCCCCTTCTTCTTCCCATTCCTCAATCACTTTCACCCACTCCAGGTCATCGTGGCATGTACAGGAGACTCTGTGCCTTTCGCACTTGGGTCGGCCCTTTGGACCTCTGAGAGTGGGGGTGCTCACTAACCACGCTGGGTCTTCCCATCAGTTGGGGCTGTCATGTCTAGGTTTGGGTTTGAACATAATGTGCATCTTGGGCTTGGTGCCCGTAGTTCAGTCATTCTTTCCTTTGTCGGGTTCAAGGTTAGGGTTCTTAAATTTGGACTGGGTACCCGTGCTCATCCCAGTGCCTCTGTCATCATCCCCCATCATGGCATAGGTGACAGTTGGAGCCAATAGGGGGTTTTAACACTCTGTCAGACCCTGGTCCAGTTACACTCAATAACTCGCGCTTTGGCAGTGATAGGTTTATTAGAGCATATGCAAGATCCAGAAAGTCACCATGTTAGAACTAAAGACTTTGGGCAGGTATAATCCTATTATAGAAAATTCAAGCAGGTCCCATCCATCCCCCAAGCATACGTCACACACACACACACACTGCCTAACATTGCCATACCAACCAGGAGAGATATATGTCCGGGCAATCTAGAGTCTGAGATGGTACAGGAATGGGTTCAAGCTCAGTTGGGCTCATAGCATACAGTTTCCCCTTGGGTAATTTATGATGGATGATCTCGATGGCACAATCAGTCTTATGGTGAGGAGGGAGCTCATCTGCTTCCTCTTCTTCAAACACTCTGGCCAGGTCCCTATATTCCACGGGGATCAGGTTCAATTCTTCCCGTACCAAGCACACCTACTCTGTGGCTCCTACCCCAATCCGGCCTCCAGAGATGCTCCTGGCACCGTGGGTCTAAGAACATAAGGGTACCGGAGCTCCAATGTACATAAGGGTCATGGGCTTGGAGCCACGGGTTTCCCAACACTATGGGGAACTTAGCCACTGGGTTTACCACAAAAGACCACATCTCCCAGTGGGCCGACATCCCCACCGGCAAATGCACTGTGCAATACCGGCAAGCCTCCTTCATGGGGGCACCATCCATCTGGCATTAGGGGGTTGTCTTTAGCCAGTGCCTTCTCCAGGATGGTGGTGCTTAGCCCAGCTCTGTAGAACTTGATCAGGACTTCTTTGGGCCATCCCCAGAGCTTGGCTGCATATGACTTGAATTCATCTGAGTTCTCCTGCACCGACTGGCTCCCTTGTCTCAACCCTCAGAGTCAGGTGCGTGCCGTCATCAACTCAAACGGATCCTCGAACTGGCAGCGCAGGGCTTGCATAAAGGCATCCATGTCTCTCAACTCGGGTGCTTGCACGTTATAGAGGCCTACAAACCAGTCAGCTGCCCAGTCTCGTAGTCAGGACACCACATAATCCACACAATGCTCATTGAATGCGAACATGTGACCCCACTCTCACTGGAGTTTCCACACCTGAATTGCGAAGAATGCCAGCTTCCCCGGGCTGCCGTCAAACGTAGCTTCCAGGGCACCTAAGGGTTGCTC